AAATAAAAAAGATATTTTTATAAAAATTAAAATTAAAATTTATTCATTTTACAAAAGTAATAATATTTTATAAAGATTAAAAATAATGTTTATAAATTTTATAAAGAAAAAATTTAGAGAAATCAAAATTCATTCATTTTATTTAACTAAAAATATATTTAAGACTTAAATATATGTTTAAATTAATTTTAATTATGTTTAAAATAAATGCTTTTCATAAAAAAAAATATTATATCTATTTTTGTGATAATAATTATAAAAAAATAAAAAAAAAGTTTTGTCCACGTTTATTTCCTGAAGCAAGCTTTTATGGTGAAAATTTGCTGAAGTTCAACAAACTTTGGTTTGGCTGCGTTTGGACATTTTTGTGAACTTTCAATCTTTCATTGCCACCCGTCAGCATTAATTAAGTATCTTAATGTCCGAAGATAGGGATGTCCGAAATTAGAAAAAGACTGTACTACTTGTTTTATTTAGATTACTCATAAATTGCGAGGATATGGCTATTTATTAAAAATTAAGAAAAGATATGTCACCGTTAAAATAATTGTATTCTTTTTTTTTTATTCCAATTTTGAGATATAAATATGTTCATGTATATATAACTTTATGTGTACTTTTTAACTTTGAGAAATGTTTGTTGTGATTTTTCATTGTTTCATACTCTATTATAAGGGGAATATATATATATATTTCATTTTCTAACTTATTTATCTCTTTTATTAAAAAATATTTTCAACTCATTTCTCTCTCGCTTCTCACTAGGGATGTCAAAGTGGGTCGTGACCCCCTTTGGCGGGCCGGACCCATCATTTCAACCCGCCAACCTGCCAAGCCCGTCCCGCCAAGCCTGCCAACCTGCCAGGTCAAATAGCAGGCTGGCCCGCCACAACCCGCCGGCCCGCATATTTTTTTTAATTTAATTATTTTTATGTTTATTTTATTTTGATATAGAAGATGAGATAGAGATGGTCAAGAAAAAAAAGTAGAGACAACTTCTTTCAAGAGAGCTTCTAATATTTTTAAAATAAAAATTCAAAGTTAATTAATTGTATTTGAACTTGTTTTGTGGACTATCAAAATATTTAGTTTATAAATAATTTGTAAGTTTATAATTTAGTTTTGATTTTGGTGTAAGTGGACTAATTTCTATTTGATTTTGTTCTAAATTTGTAATTTACTTTTGTTGAACATATATTATGTACAATATGTATGCATTTTTAATTTCATATGGTTATATTTATTTATTTGTAGCAAATTTTTTTTTATTTGAACATAAAATATATATTTTTTCCATATTTATTTATTTGTATGTGGGCTGGCCTGCCAACCCGCCAGCCTGTCCTTAGACGGGATGGACCAGCATCCCCAGCCCGTTTTACATTGGCTGGCTGGGCTGGCCCGACCTGTGGGTTGACCCATTTTGTCATCCCTATTTCTCACGATGTCCCGCCTCTCTCTACGTAAACAAATAAAAATTACTTAATTAAAGAGAAAAATGAGCTGGAGAATGAAATTAATATGAGAGATAAAATATTTTAAAATATTAAAAAAATTAAATAAAAAATTAAAAAAACCTTTTAAATTTTTCTCGTCAAAAAAATTCTCTATAAAATTCAAGTTTAATATATAAGAGTGAATTTCTAAATTTTAAATTTTTATTAAATTGGATCAATTTATTAACACTCTTAATATTTATTTATTTTCAAACTCATTTAATATGTAAATCCAAACCCAACCTATAACCAAAATAGTTTATTTCCTTAACTAAAACGATCATAAATCACCAGTAACCAAAACTATCATATCTTGGCAAAAATTGCAACTCAGAACTAATTCATTTCCCCAATTGCATCACAAACCTATATATATTACTCTAAAGAAAAAACAGTTATACTTTCGTGTCGTATAAGACCCAAATACATATAATTCATTAGGTTGAAAAAATAGTTAATTTAATTAATAATAATAAATTTATTTTATTTTTATATATTTTTTCAAAAACTATTTTGATACTATTTTTTATTTTAATTAATACTCATTTTTTAATCAATTAAAATGCATGTTTTATGTTATTTTTCTCTATAATTAATATTACTTACTCTTCTAACTAATTAGAATGTATAACTTTTAAATAACTTATAATTAATATATTTTTATCAAATTAAGAAAATATATTTTAATTAAAGATATTTTAGTTTAAAAATAATTAATAATTGAATCTTATATAAAGAAAAAAATATATTCTAAGTTGGGTTCTATGAATAAGATAAAACAAACAAATATTTTAAATTTGATCTTATAATAGAAACAGAAACGGAAGTTATATGAATTAAATACGGCATTTATCAACCTTTCGTAAAAATGAATCAGTGTAATAGAAATTGGAGTTATTTAAATTGTAAAAATATAATTAAAGTTTTTTTTAAAGTAAAAATAGTTACTCTCAAACATAACATTACTGACACTCCGTCATTTTCTCTATAAGTAATAAATATAATAATTATTAATTTTAATTAATATATAATTTAATTATTGTGATTAATTAATATTACATGTTATATTATTTATATTTTAGTATAAACTACAAATATTTTTTATTTGAGTATGATAGGAACAAACATATAATTAGGTTAATAAAATAATCAAATCAATTATCTATCATTTTTACCTATTTTTTTCCTTGTATATAAACATGATCAATTTAATGATTTAAAAATAACAATAAAAAATTAATATACATTTTTAAGATGCGACTTTCAATTGTTATATATATATATATATATATATATATAAATTTGACTTTTAATGACTAAACATTATTTTAACGCTTATAAAATTTGATCATGAAAATGCTATGTCAATCTTTATATTTTAAGCAAACTTTACCACAATTGAATTAAAAGATTTTGTTTATCAATACTAATTAGTCCTCGATGACACTGAGTATTTGAAATGAAATTTAACAAGCAATTGTAAGTATGGTAGGTGTTTGAACTTACAAAAATTCCTTGACATGTTTTTTTTAGGGGGTTGTTATTGTTAGAAAATACTGTAGGTATGAAGGTATTATGTGCTTGAAACCAATATGCAAGATTAAGGTTTTACTCTTTATGCAAGATTCGTTAATGCATATTAAATGGGGTTACTTCAAAAATTGATGGACAATCAAAGCATTTGTGCCATAAAGAGAGAAATTAAGTATCATAAAGAGTAAATGAATGGGTATTTAATGAGTGATATATGGTGTCATTTTCACATTAAAATTTAAAAAAAAAAAAAGTTTTATGTAAGCCTCATTGGTCAGGGTACCTCCTTGTATGAATCAATAACATTGCCTCCTCATGTGATTAATGGTCCTTAAAAAATCAAACTTATCCGATGCATTCTATTTACTAATGGAGCCACTAATGTGTTTCCACTATCTAATAACATTGAATTGGCCATTTTTATTTTTCTTCGAAGAAAAGGAAGAATAACTATATGAAGGTTTTTTTTTTATCAGTTACCTAAAGGAACAAAAAAAAAAAAAAGATGTAAAATAGTTTCTCAATTATCTAAGAGCATAAACAAATCTTAGGCCAAAAGCAACATTCTAAAACCTTCAGCTTCAAAAGACAAATAAAAGTATGTAAGAACCAGTCATTTGTGCAAGCAACAAATATCTAATGAAGATTTGATTTACTCACCATTTTGAAAAAAAGAAGTCATGCTTAACAATTATTTTTCTTTATATCCTTTACAATCTTCATTATAATGTCAAAGGAAAACTCGTGCAAGTGGCAAGTATTTCAGTGCATGAGTTTTTGAAATTTTATAAAGAAAAGGAAACAAATAGTTAAGCAAGTGATTTTAAAAAATCGTTAGGAAATTAAATCCTTATCAAATAATTGCTGCTTTCATAAAAATCCTTTCTCATGTTACTGTTTTTTTGTTTTTGTTTCGGAGGAATACTTTTACATGAGTTTTTTTTTTTTTTCTCTCACATAACTTAGAGAGCACTTTAGGTTGATAGATCTTACTTTTAGTTCCTTTAGGTAATGGATTATTAAACTCTTAGTTGCTATTCCTTTTCTTTGAATTCAATGGTGGATCGAGTTCATTGTGATTGGATTAAATGATTAATAATCATATTATAAATGGTTCTATCAATAAATATAAAGGTAATGGATTTGTTTGATTATTTAGGAACAAAACAAGAAGCACCTCCAAAACTTAATTAATCTAAAAATAATTTAGTAAGGGAACTATTTTCAACTGCATCTAATGTGTATTGTTTTATGAGATTAGGCTTAGGCTTTATAGGATTATTTGGTGTCTTTAAATCCCATTTTCTAATCTTATTTTTTGTTGTATTTTTCTCATTAACACATTTTGCTCTTATTTGATAAACTTTTGTTAGGAATGTAAGTAGGTTGATTGGGTCGAGACGACCCAATCAAAATTTAACAGATTGGATTAGATTATATTTGTGTAATATTTTTTAAAAATCTAACCTAACCCAATCACAAATAGGTTGGATTAGATTGGGTTAATCGGGTTGATATAATTAAATATATTTATTTATTATAAAAACTTAAATATTTCAAAAAATATATAAATCATTTGATACATTGTTTATCAAGTTATAAAGCAAACAATGATACAAATTAAATTCTAAAATAAATTTATTAATTTGTTATATTATTATCAACTTAAAAAATCAACATTAATCAATACAAAATAAAATTTTAAATAAATATATTATATTATTACAATGCTATCAATCTAAAACACAAAACTTGTTATTAAGTAAGAATAACCATGAATATTGTTATGAACAAATGATCATTTAAATATTATTATTATAATATATAACCGAATTGGGTTGGATAATGGGTTGAAAACACAAAATTCATTACTTGATCCATACATTACTAGATTTTAATTAGGTTGGGTTGGGTCTGACCTAAATATTAAAAAAAAATCGATTTGAACTTATTAGGTTGTCTTTGGTCAATTTGAATTCGTGGATTATCCGTACCCACTTACACTCCTAACTTTTGTGATGATATAACACCAAATAAAAAAAAGAACTATACCACACATAAGTTCGAACGTGTGATATTTATTTGATGAAAATAGGATTCTTTACCATTTTATAAAAATTTCAATGCTTTGAATTGAGTGCTGAACAAAGTGAATTTGAGAATTACAACATTAGCGATGAATTATATACATCGAATATAATTCACTGCAAAGTTTTAGCAAGGTAACATCTTTATTAAGTTTATTCCCATAAAGAATTGGCCCAAAATTTCCATAATTGTGTAAGTAAAAAAGAATTAGTAAACAATGAGTTAGAAAAACTCTTAACTCCTTAAAGAAATGATATCAAATATCAGGAAAGAAAATGTTAGGAAATGGTATTCAATTTTCATCAAAGAAAGAAAAACATTTGTATAACTTTCAATTTGGAAGGCAATGGTATTGATGGATGCTAAGATATCTTAATGAGCGATGAAGGATACTTGCATGAAGTTGTCTTCTTTATAAGAATAACACATTTTATCATCTTATAATGGCCAATAATTTTCTCTCTGTGAAACTTAATTCCCCATTTGAGAAGTTTTAATCCACGTAAATTGAGAAAAACGTTATGGTGTTGTTGGTGGCGAATCTATGTAACTCAAGACTTGAGGAGTCACACATGTGGGGTAGGGTTGGGGCATCATATCCACACACAGCAGAGGATGGCATTGGTGCCAATGAAAGAAGATACCAACGGATAACATAACACGATCATAACTATTCACAACTTCTAATTCCCCTTCTCATTCTGTCTCAGATACTATCCTTCTAAGTTCTACCTATGCCTATGGAGGCTTTTTCCGTACAGTCTCTGACTGCAACCACCATTCCTTCCTCTTTGTCACGTAGAAGGGTCACAGACATACCTTCTGCCCACGTTAACCTTTCCCATTTCACAAGGTACCCCTCTACCTCAAGATCCACAAAACACAAAATTCGTGGCACCAGAGCTCAAGCTTCAGGTGATAAATGATGCTCCTTCTCTCTGCCAAAATATGTTTCTTAATTTGGAATGCCATTGATCTCAATGTATGCTGTGTGTGATTGGATGAGTGCTTACATGATTGATTTCGGTGTTAAAAATATTTGGAAGTAAAGTGATTTATGTTTGTATAATACGAGTAGATACAAGCGGTAGTGATTTATATCATTTAATTAAGTTATCCAAGATTTGATTCTTGATATTAAGTATATTGACAGCCACTGACAAAGATTAATCATCGCTTATATTCTAGTATTTAAACATGATTTTTAAAAAAATCTAACGGGAATCTAAACATGTACCTTATATACAAGGTTCGACAAAATCTAGTACTGGTACTGCTGAGGGGATTCCTGGAAAAACAGATTCCAAGGATGACAATTTAGTATTTGTTGCGGGTGCTACTGGTAGAGTTGGTTCCCGGACAGTGAGGTACATTTATTAGTTCTTACTATATATGCACCTCTCTTTTTCTAAGATGATGACCTTTTTAAAATGCTAAGTAGTGATCATCTCTCTCATCCAGGGAACTCATAAAGCTTGGATTTAAAGTCAGAGCTGGAGTGAGAAGTGCTCAGAGGGCTGGTGCATTAGTTCAGGTAGCCTGGCAATTAATTATTTGAACAATGTTATGTGTGACTAATATCTTGTGTAAAATAGACATGCATTGAAGATATGAATATGTGCAGAGTGTTGAACAATTGAAGCTTGATGGTACAAGTGCAAGTGGAGGGGGACAAGGTAAGGCAAGGAAGTTTTGAAATCAATATGTCTTGGTTCCCAATGACAAAACGCTGCTGTATTGAATAACAGATTGTTTTTGGGTTTTAGCCCAGCTGTAGAGAAGCTTGAAATTGTGGAATGTGATTTGGAGAAACCAGATACAATTGGACTGGCATTAGGGAATGCTTCAACAGTGGTATGCAGCATTGGTGCCAGTGAGAAGGAAGTTTTGGACATTACTGGACCCTTTCGAATAGATTATCAGGCCACCAAAAATCTAATTGACGCTGGTAACAAGAGCTTTCATTATTGTTATGTTTTAGTGCCCTAGGCATTTGGCATGTTATGGTCTTTATTTGTCTTATAATAGAAGTTGTCATTGTTTACTGATCAAATTTTGTTAAGCCTTAATCTGGCAACACAAACAAACAATGCTGAAATAAGGCAGGCCTAATCAGTTAATGTTTATTATTTGTTATTATGTTTATATTTTTTTTTTCTTGAGCAGTCATTAGTTTTATTGTCCTAAATGTTGAAAACACAAAATGCAAAATGTTTGTTCTCTCTGCCTTGCAGCAACTGTTGCCAAAGTAAATCACTTCATATTGGTTACTTCGCTTGGAACAAACAAAATTGGATTTCCTGCAGCTATCCTCAAGTGAGTATGGAAGCTTTCTCATATTTGTAGTTCTTAGGCAATCAGTAGTTATACTCGCATATTGACATCACAAAGAAGTTAAACTAATTGCTTAATTCTGCTTCTAAAGTTTGTTTTGGGGAGTCCTGGTTTGGAAAAGGAAGGCAGAAGAAGCATTGCTAGCTAGTGGAGTTCCATACACAGTGAGTCATTCTGAATCTCTGATACTAATTACACCCAAGTTTAGGATTCTAAATGACTAATTAACGACTAATTATTTTGACACTCTTCAGATAGTGAGACCTGGAGGAATGGAGCGGCCTACGGATGCTTTCAAGGAAACTCATAATATAACCCTATCAACGGAAGATACTTTATTTGGGGGTCTGGTGTCAAACCTTCAGGTATTTATCACGTGAAATGTTTTCATATATGTAGCTATACATTATAATAGATGTACATGGGACATGTTAGCTCTGATTTTAAAGCTTAGAATTAAAACTAACCAAGTACTGATAGAATACATGTGGTGTTGATTTCCAAAAAGGTATGTGAGTGCTAGCCAAGTGCAAAGTTAACTTATCTGATTCATTGCAGATAGCTGAACTCATTGCAGTCATGGCCAAGAACCGTGATCTTTCATATTGTAAAATAGTGGAGGCAATTGCAGAGACAACTGCACCCTTAACTCCCATGGAGGAACTTCTGGCAAAGATACCTTCTCAACGCCCTTACATTTCTTCACCCAAGGTACCTTCTCCCTTATATGTTATATAGTACTCTACATTTTAAGGTACATATACTTGATCCAAACTAGTGTCGAGAAAAATGGATGGTTGAAACTTGGAACATAACTCTTGATTTGCTCCTACATTTCTACCTTGCTATTCCTAACAAGTACTATTAGTTAATTCGTTGTTTATTGGGATGGTTCAGAAACCAGATATTGCAGCTGCCAGTGTTCCAGATCCCTCTTCTAATGTTGTGGCTGCGGAACCTAGCGTTGCCACTCACCAAGAAACTGCACAACCTAAACCAGTGGCAAAACAGCCACTTTCTCCCTACATCGTGTAAGCCAGATTAGTAATATTGCCTAGACCACAGATACTAAAATACTATATATCGAAATCTGTTACTCTTTCTGATTAAGTTATAACTTACAAGGATAAGGACATAAGTCACATAACCAACTTCTTTATTGTGGACTGTGGAGGCATAAACTAATTTGATGTTTATTTGATCAGTTATGATGATTTAAAGCCACCAACTTCTCCTTCTCCATCTCAGCCTGGTGAGGGGAAACAGATAAAGACTAGTGATCCAGAGCCAAAACCCATTGCTTCAGATACTCCAAGTAGTGTGCCAGCCCCAGGAGTAGATGGTATCTCTCAGACAACATCTTCATCTAAAGTGGAGAAGCCTCTTTCTCCTTATGTAGCGTAAGCCACTCTTATTTTGTGCTCATATGTTATTACATATTACCGTCTTTCTTACCTAAACTCCCTACCATGTGTGAGTTTATTTTCATTCTTGCTATCGGCAACTTGGTAGTAATTTATCTGTGGTGTGTCTATGCGTTATGTGACCTTATGTAGTTTGGTTTCAACTTATGTCAATTCAACCACTGCCCTCAGTATGATTTTCTTGTTTATGTTTGTTCACTGAGGCCATGCTGTGTATGCAGATATCCTGACTTAAAGCCTCCCACTTCACCATCTCCTAATGCACCAATTATATCAGTTCCCAAATCTGCTTCAGATAGCGTGCCAGAGGTAGCCACAGTATCAAGCAATGGACCAGCCCAACTTTCAATAGCAGATGAACCAAAGGAGGAACATGTCCCTGAACCCAAGTCAACACCACTTTCACCTTATACAATGTGAGCTACTTCTGACTGACCTTAAAATTCTCTTGTTTCTTCTTCAAAGATTTTGAAAAAAAATCCAAATTTCACATTGACTAAATTATAAGGTCAATAAAGAGTATATAATTGATAAATAATTTTTATTTTATAAGTCAATTTTATAAGATTAAATTATACTTAAATTTAATTTCTTAAGATGATATTAGAAGTATCTTAAATCTATTTAAAAAAGGGTCTGCTACTATTTATACATTATCAGAACTATTCCTTTATCTGGTATTTATTATCATTATTATGTTTAGGTGGTTGTCCTTAATTTTTTTACGTATTGCTAGTTTAATCTATGTTTGTCTTATGTTACCTGGGGGCAGTGTTAAGATTCTGATTTCATTAAAATAAACATCCAGGTACGAGGACTTGAAGCCACCTGCGTCACCATCACCCTCCTTCAGAGAATCTTAGGAACTGCCCTCCTATGGAATCTGACAAGGTTAGAAATGCAAATTATTATAGTATACCCTTGGTTATATGTTCTATAATTTGAACTTTATTTTTACTGCCGACGTTACTATTGAAGAGTGTATGCGGCAACTCATATGGAGGATGGTCACTCAAATATGAAGAGAAGCATTTCTGCGAATTGAAATTTTCAGCTATGTTATTTATTTCTTTATGACCTTTTGCGAAACGCGAGGACATTATTGCTCCTTTTTGTATGTTATTTTTCTTATGTTTCTATTTCTATTATTTAAATAAGGAAAAAGTATCACTTTTCATGTTCAATTTTTATTTTCATGCTTAATTTTATTTAGAGTAAATTAAAATGAACAGGCTTAAAGTTTCCTAAAATCGCATATAATTTTTAATTTCTTAATTATAAGAGTTGCGTTATTTACGCTTATTATAAAGGAGATACAGAGGCATATAACTATTTTTGGTCTTCACTTTTTAGTGGATTAATATATCCCTTAAATGTAATAAAAAAAATCTTATATTTTTTTAAATAATTATACATTACTTTCTAATATTGTATTTGTGTATATTTATTAGAGACATGAAGTGTCTCAACCCCTTTAATAATTTTTAAAATAATTAAAAATTTATATAAGTGTCACCGAGTGTAAATAATAAATAATTTTTTAGAATATTGCATATATATGTGAGTATAATATTTTTTAAAATAAACCAGAGGAGTCAAGGTACTTCCTGTCTCTAATAATTATATACAGACAAATATTATAAAGAGTTCATCACTTATACACCGTTGGTGTAAAGTTTTTTTACACTGACAACCAATTATATCTTTTAATTGTGTCATGTCACTATAAACACATTTACTTTTAACAGTAACATGACACAATTAAAAGATATAATTGATTGTCAGTGTAAAAAAATTTTATACTGACAATATATAAGTGATTAACTCTATTAGAAATTATAAAAAATATAATAATTAATTTATTTTTTATATTTAAGGGTATAAAGGTTCACTAAAAAATAGAAACTAAAAGGATGATTGTTAAAATGTATCCCGTTTATAACATGTTTAGATAAAATAAGAAAAAATTAAAGTGTTTGTAATTTCACGTAACTTAAGAAAACATTTATGTAATTTCTTCTTTTTTAAAGGATGTCCGATCCAGACGATTTTTATCCTTACTGCTGCAACTCCCATGCCGTCCGTCAACTAATATATACCACTGTCGATGAGTGCGTTGCTATGATTTTTAATTTTAATCAATTAATTAATTTTAATAATAATATTTTAATTTTTATTAATAATTAAAGTTATCATAATATAAATTATTTATTATAAATCTAAATTTATATATTAAAAATATTTATTTATTATAAACTTCAAATATAACATAATTTATATATTCAAAAACATATTTTAAGTTTAGTCATATAAAATCAATAATTATCTTGTATATTGTATAAAATATTAGTTTATAATTAAATTATAATATTAGAAAAATACAATTAAATTTTAAAAATTAAATATATTTTGTATTATAAAAAATATTAATGTAAAGCTTTTTATCGCATTAAATAATTCAAAAACACTATAAAGCAATTATGGAGAACATATGACAAATTTAAACTAAGTAAACTATTAATTTGATTCTTATCACTTCTCATCAATATTCCTTAATCTACTCAAAATATATGAACTGATCCTTGAAACAATAGAAATTATGTTATGTAATCTTCAAATATTATATAAAAAAAAGTCCGTAATATTAGTACATAATCTAGAGACTAAATTGATAAGAAAAATGCTAAATCTTTGGAATACACATTCCTAAACACCCTCCGAACTAATTAAAAAGTTTTTTCTTCTTAATTAAATTCATATTTTATAGGTTAAGAAAGTTACAAGTGTCAACTGCAAAGTAATTCAGAAGAATTTTGGGTTAAAATTTCAGAATATGTATCATTTCTCGATTGATAAATATAGGTATTTTAATGACTACTCGTATAAATTTTAGTTTATGGACTGTTTGTACAGGGTGATTAACTGATTCTATTACAGACTAATTACGGTTTAAATTTAAATTTAGAATTGGCGAGAGTATAAATTTTTTAGAGCGTGAATAAAATTGAAGTTACTGTTAGGGTTTGAAGTTTGTCTGTGTCCATTGGTGTTGGGGTTTTGGTTTGAAGTTTGAAGAGGAATATGGATGATACGGCAACACCTTCAACTGCTTCGGCCTACCTTAATCCTTCCTACTGGTAATACCCTATTCAACTGCTTCATCTTGTCAATAACTTGATTTAATTATCCTTTCGTTGGTGTCAGGGATGAGAGGTTCTCGAAAGAGGAGCAATATGAGTGGTTCAAAGATTATTCCCATTTTCGCCACTTGATTCAACCCCATCTCACGCCCCATTCCGCTGTATGCTTTATTCACGTATTAATATATAGGGTTTGTGATGGAACATGGCTAACGTGAACATTTTTGCAGGTACTGGAACTTGGATGTGGAAACTCACAAATGTGTGAAGAGTTGCATAGGGATGGCACAACCAACATAACTTGCATTGACCTTTCACCTGTTGCAGTTCACAACTTGCAAAAACGGTTACTCTCCCGGGGATTCAAAGGTAAGCTTTCTGGATCATAGTAATTGCTACACATGAATCATACATGTGTGTGATTGATTTCCTATCAAAATTATTTTGTGATGCGACTTTGTGTTTCTGAATTGTTATGTCAATTAAATGTTTTTATTTTACATGTTTTCATTTCTTTGATTAGACATAAAAGTGCTGCAAGCTGATATGCTAGAGCTACCTTTTGAGGATGAGTGTTTTGATTTGGTTATTGAGAAAGGAACTATGGTAAATTGAATGATTTTCCTTTGGTCATGATGGGATTTTGTCTTGATGTTCTACAGTAATGATTATGGTTCCTATATGGTTGAGTGTTTTAAGTTAATGAGTTAAATGTGATTCTTGGTTTTGAAGGATGTATTGTTCGTGGACAGTGGTGATCCGTGGAATCCAAAGCCTGAAACCATGTCAAAGGTCATGGCCATGTTGAAAGGTGTTCACAGAGTTTTGAAAGCTGGTGGCACATTTATCTCAGTAACTTTTGGCCAGGTTTTAAAAATGAACTGTTATGTGTGTGAGTGTTTCTCTTTTAATGGGCGTTGCTGTGATTGATTCTAATCTACTTAAAATTCATGGCAGCCACATTTCAGGCGCCCTATATTTAATGCACCGGATTTCAGCTGGTCTGTTGAGTGGACTACTTTTGGTGAAACTTTTCATTATTTTGTCTATGTTCTGAAGAAGGTTGGACCACATAACCTCTCCTTGTTTTTCTTATGATGATAAAAGCAAATGTTTGTTCGTTGCTATTTTACGGTACTGCTACCAAAACTTGAACATATGAGTTCTACCAAAATCCCCATTCCATCGACTGCCTTTTAATGTGAACACTCATTCTGATCCCCTTCAAATTTAAACTTGACTTCACATTACCAAATTGGTTCTTCAATGATGATGAATATCATCAGTTTTGTATTTCGATGACCAATTTTATGTCAGGCATATCTTTCATGTTTCAAGGACAAGGTTGTTGAATTTTTAATTGTAGGACCAATGGGTTGTTGCATATATCTTTGGAAAATCTAGTATACTCTACTTTCTATGATTAAAAAGTGCTACCCTTTGTATCGATATAGATAATGATTCTCTTCTCATGAAGTATGGATTTCATCATGAGTAGTGTCACGGAGCTATAATATGCTACAAATGGGAGGGGGATACAATCTTGGATCTCCCTCCACATTTGATGGGGTGCCAGGTGACATCTGAGTTGTTGCTAAAATCTAGTTCTGGTTGTATGATTGAGTTGGATTATGCATAAGAGGTTTATAAGGATTATGGTTCATATGTTTGTGGTTTAATTGTTCTGTATTTCTGTTTTAACTGATTGAGGAAACACTTTTCAGGGACAGAGATCGTCATATGATGATACTCCATCTGTTAAGAGGTTTGAAGCACCGGCTATTAATCTACTTCATGAAGAGTTAGAAAGTGAAGATTTTGCTTTCCGAATCAATGTTGAGGAGTTGAACTGTTAGACTGTATTGTGAGAAGTTTTGTTATCAATTTTAATTCGCTTGCTTCAAAAGAGGAATGCGATTATCTTGACTGATGGATTTAGGCATACTGATGTTGCACCAAAATGGTAATTGTACTTTGTTGAAAAGTAAATGAAAACATCTCAAGTTACCATGATGTACTTAGAGCACCTCTAACTTTTTTTTTTTTTTTGCTGAAATGAACACCTCTAACTTGGTATCTCTTTGTTTTTACTTTTTTATTTTTTATACATCTTTAAATGGGTTTTTATCATTATACTTCATTTATTTTTAATTTCAAGAATAATTCTTCCCCACTAAATGTATATTGTAACCTTACTAAATTAGTATCTGGAGTGAATCTACATTGTTATATCAAAGATAGAATCTTATTTTGTCAACGTTAAATCTTATTAATTCACAAGTGTCTGAAGAGTTAAATACTTTTAATATTGTTGTTAAAAAAAATACTTTTACTATTCCCATTTGGTCCTTTAAAAATTAATTGTCCCATTTTCATTTTCCATTTATAAAAACGTGAACGTATGGTTTCTATTTTCATAAATCATGAGTAAGGGACAAAAAAGTAAAACGAATTTTCTGAAAGACAAATACTATATTCATCAGTCAACGCAATCTTGTAAATTAAGGATTAGAAAGAGGCATTTTTTTTAGAGCGACTAAAAATAAGTATTACTTTTATTTGTAGGGATTAAAAATATAGTTAACATTCATCTAAATTATGAAATAATAAAATTCTAATATGTTTATTTGAATTACGAAACAAAAAAAAATTGTAAAAGATTAAAAAATTTATTAATACCTTTTTTTGTGCAATAAAAAAATTCTAAATTGAAAACCTAGTTAACTATTGAGTCATAATTTACTCAAAATGATTAAGAATAATTTAAATTATATAATTAAAATAATAATTAGTTGTGATGACTATTTCACACATAATCTTTATAAATTATCCAAGACTTAGACTGAAAAATTTATCAATTTTGTCTATCACAAACAAGTGCTTTCTTTCTTAAATATGGTGTAAGATTGAGATAAACTTGTTTATAACACTAAATTTTTTAACTGTTATTCAACTATTTTAATCGATATTTTAGTTGTCATTTTTATTCACTTACTAATAGTGATAATATTTATTGTAATAATCTTTCGTTCTTAGTAACTTTTTTTTATTTACTCATCCTTAGAAACATTTAGTCATTGTTAGATGAGAAGTTTTTTTTTCTTTCCATGTGAATTGAACCTTGTTCTTTGTTTTCGTCAAGTTGTCTATTTTATTTTCTTAATCAAACGCAATAAATATTATACAACTCAACTTAGGTAAAAAATGATATAACTTAAAATTCTAACGCAAATATATGTTCTTTTTTACTAGATTGCCTTGCCACCACTAGTGCTCACCGGAATCTCATGCTCATGGTGGGTTAACTCAAAGGAAATTGAAACATAGATAATCGATATAGAAAAGTGTAAGAATTTGAAAATTGTTGATATCTTGAGTTATTTTATAAAAGTGGATAATTGTGAAATTTAGATTAGTAGGATATTTTCTTAAATTTTACTTACTTATTGATCGAAGTAGATTAATTTAAAGAAAAATCTTAACACACTGATGTTAAAGTAAAAATAAAAAATAAAAAAGACTAGTAAGATATTAATAACTTTGCATGAAATTTAATAATAAATGATATTGAATTAATTTGGATCAATTGGGTGAAAACAAACAAAAGAGAAAGTTAAAGATTAGAATCTGCCAATTAAAAAAGGGGTGAGAGAGAACATTGTAAGATTGTGTGTGTTTGGATTATAGTTAAAAAATTAAGTTAAATTTTAAATTTAAGTTTAGTTAAAAGTAAGTTTAAATTAACTTGATTCATATTTGGATACTTTTATCTTAAAAGTACTTTTATAAAAAAAAAAACTTGTTTAGATAATAATTAAAATTACTTTTAAATGTGTAATTACTAAAATGGATATGAATATAACATGAATGATATTTATTTCATTACTTTTATTTATATTTGAATTGATAATATATTATTATTAATAATAATAAATAGTGATAGTATTATAAATTAAATTATAAACAAAGACTATTGAATGTACTATAAAGAGGGGACTAAAAGAAGAAGAAGTGAGAAAATTTAAATAATTTTTGAATAAATTAAATTCCTTAAAGTTAAACCGGGCAAATCAAAGTTTATTTCTTACTCCTTCAATTTTCTATTTCACAAAACAATGTAATCAACAGAGAAATGAAGACTAAATGATAATAGAAAAGCTAATCACCACATATCAATAATAGAAAATAGACTAAATTTTCTATTTTTTTATTGGAATTTGATCAATGTCACTCAGCACATCCATATGCTACATCAAATATCAAACGTCCTCACTTCCTGCCAAGCCTTAAAAAAAATATATATGTAGTTTCACAAGCAATTTGCTAATTAATTTCATAGGCAATTTTTTAAAAGCAAAATAGTTTGTAGTAAGAACATGAAGGTCACTACAATCATAAGTCATGATCAACCAAAGAGAAGATCACCTTAATAGATCTCAAAGTGATAATTTTATCTTCTTTATATTGTTTACGTAAAAAATCCGATAAGGATAAAGTAAAAGCAACAAACATGTTGCATTGGTTGAAACAAAGGTTGTAGCCAAAAAAGCCATTTAACACAATAGGAAAGAAGATAATCAAACATATGAGAAGTGAACGTGTGTTTAGGTATGTAAACGTCCACTCAAACATACCCTTATATGCTTAAAGAAATGAGGAAAAAAAAATCCAGACATTGAGTAAAAATAAGAAAAAGTTACTATATGAGTAAAAATGAGAAATAATTTGAGCAGCTTAAATGTTAAAAAATTTGATGTTGGTCTCAATATATATGTTAAAAAATAAAATAAAAAATTACAACGAATACATATAAGTATAACGACTAGCAATTTTTAATTTATCATTGTTTCATAAAAAATACATGCATTCTACACATAATCAAATAATTATTTAAACATAGATGTTTAAATGAACAACGAGAATTGCACTAGGATTTTGCCAAATACTTGCTCTAATCGACATGCTTAGTACCACTCAAGCACTTTTGCTTGAGGTGCTCATTTTAAAATTTCTCCATTATTTTGATTATTATTTAAAAAAAAAAAAAAAGTTAGCCCAACGTATTTTGTCATTTTTTTCTTTTTCTTTTTAATATAAACTTGCTATTATTAATAATTGAAGATGTATATGGTTGAATCTTAGACTTTGCCTATCAAAAAAAAAAAAAAAATCTTAGACTTTGACATATGTACATTGTACTCACTTGCCATGACATGTAATATAACATTTGTTTGTTAATATATTGCATGTAATTCTTAGATCTATCGGAAACTTAATTTTAATTTTTACCTTTTAATTTTATTTTTTAATCAAATATTATCGTGTAATTCCTCTTGAATTTCTAAAATACCGAAGTTCTCCTCTCTGCTCAATAATAATAAACATAAAATTCAATTATATGAAAAGTATACATTTTAATAAATATATTATATTTAATAATGTAATATTTTATAGTATCACCAAAGTTAAAAAAATATAATATTTGATAAATAAATTAATTAGTATTACATAAAGAAGGAAGCATTACTTAATAATTAATTAATATCCTAAGGTGTTAGTTTTTTTTTATATTATTATTTAATTTTTATTTTTTTTAAAAATATCATTATTATTAACTTATAATTAAAGTGATATTTAAAAGCGGTGCATGGACTTATAGTTTAGATCCATATAATCTCTAAATCTTAAACTCTAAATTTATAATTAAGTTTTTTTTTAAGATATTTCATATTTTAATAACATAAAAATAATAATTATATAAATTATATATTTATATGTTAAGTTTATTTAGAATTATAAATAACTCAAATTTAACTTATTTATTTATTGAATTCAATTTAAACTTAAAATTTTTTACGAATTAAGTTTAATGGGTTAATTATTAAATTAAATTTTAAATTATTATTTGATTCATTATTACTTTTTTTTAGTTAGAATAGAAGTTTTTCATTTATTAGTGTGTTATTCAAGAATAATTAGAACCTGTTTAGTTAGTTATAAATATTATTTTTTTTCATTTTTCTACTTTCACATTTTGGTCTCCATAATTTTTTCATTTTTCTATATTGGTTCCTACATTTTATTTTTGCTTTTGTCTTGTTAAATTTAATAAATAATCTAATGGCAAGAACGAATATGAAACAATTTTTTTTTTACAGAGATGAAAATGAAAAAAATTGGATTAAAATAAAAACTTCATATCTTACAAAGACTAAAAAGTTATTTAAACACATAAGAACCAAAATTTGTTGCTAAAATAAATTTTTCTTTTAATTTAAAAATGTTACATTCTCATTTTCTGCCATAAGAATAAATTTGTGAAAAAATTTATCGTAAAAAACCTATTTCTCATGAATATTATTTTTAAAATAATAAATTAAATATAAAAACTAACATTCTTGATTATATATATATATATATATATATATATATATATATATAAATAAATGCATAATTAATATATATATATATATATAAATAAATAAATAAAAGTTTTTGTGTAGCTCTGTGACTGTGAGGCTACTCCTTCCTATAGCAATTATACAATTTACTAAACTTGATCCAAAATGTTATTCGAGGGGGAATATAACTCTTGGATAACAAAATACATATTTTAAACTTTTCTACACCATTTTCTCATCTTTTAAAGAATTGCATATCACTTTATTTTCTTGCATTTACCTATTTACGTGTCAGTTATTTTTATTTTTAACTAAGGCATCTTAGCCTCTAAGTTCTCAAAATCTCGGTAAATTTTAATTTTTTTAAATTCTCTCATGCCTTATAGGGTTTCCTAAATCACTGAAAATATTACCAACAACACATTGATCAGAATAAGGTTGATCATAATAAGATTGGATTTAATTCATATAAGTAAGTTCTTGTGGTTGACTTATATATGAAAAAAAAAAAAGTGGTTTAAAGGAAAAATTTTATTGAGGGTGGTCAGTGAAGTTTGTCGATGAAGGTTACTGATAATTTTTCAGGTTTATTGACAAAAATTAATCATCGATGGAGCTGATAAATAATTAGTATCAATAATACAGTTTTAGGACCTTAATTATTAAAGTTATCCTTTTTTAAGTAGATCAAACTCAAAACTCAAACTTGAGATTTTGAAGTTTGAGGACCAATAATAATATTACTTAACCAATGAACGATTTTTGTCTCTAAATTCTATTGAATAATTTTAATCCTTTAAGTATTATAATTGTGTATTTTTAATTAAATAATTTTAGTCTTCAAGTATTATAATTGTATGACTTTTAACTTATCTAAGTTATATATATATATATATATATTATACTTTTCATTCATATATTAAATAACACATTTATTAATATTAAACTTATTAATATATGTAACTTAAATAAATAAAAATGTGTATAATTAAAATACTAAATAAATTTAAATTACACAATTGTGGTACTTAAGAATTAAAATTATTTAATTAAAATTTAAAAGACTAAAATTATATAACTATTATATTTAAAAGATTAAAAATATATTTAAGTAAAAAATTATTAAAAGTAAAAAAAATCATTGCTGAAATCAATATAAACAAATATCTGAATCTCAAATTGAAGATTATGAAAATTCTACCAAATTCCTTTCTTTCATTATTTTAGATTGCATAAATTACGAAAAATATTTACTGACAATAAAACTAAACGTTATTAAAAAAGTAGGCAAACTTTTCAAACATAGTTAAAAATAAGTGAGGCACTGTTATTAGAAATTGAAATCCTAATATCTTATTTTATTTAAATTTAATTACCTTTTTATCTGTATAATTAAAATGTTTTTTTTTTTAATTCATATAGTCTATTATTATAGGGACCGAAAAGTATAATTTATAAATCATAAAATCAAAAAAGAGGAAAGTTGGAAAGCAGGAATAATAATAAAAATAAAAATAAAAATAAAATGAAAATATAATAAATAATAAAATGAAAATATTTGAAGTATATAAAGGAAAGGAAGAGGCAATATTTGCAAAGGAAGAAGGAAAGGTTGTGTTGTATTGTATTGTGCGTTTTTTTCTCTCTCTCTCTCTCTCTCTCTCTCTCTCTCACTCTCTTTCATTCTCTTTCATTCTCTATTCTCTATATATGTGTTGGTGCGTGGAGTGGCGTGTGTGTAGCTGCGCTCTCTCCTGCCGGCGCTCTCGTCGGAATTTCAGTTATTGATTTTTCCGATCACCGGATTCGATCCAATCCCCAATCCCTAATTGCCAGCCCAACCTTTTTCATCATCAATTCTAATTCAATAGGCATTGGGGTGGCGCTGCCGGAGATGGAGGATTACGCCACCAGCGATGACGATTACCATTATTCCTCCGATCAGGAGGACTCCGTCGATGCCTACGAAAACGACGACCCAGATTACGCCTTGCTCTCTTCCAAGGGTCCCACTACTCAGGTATCTATTCCCTTCCGATACCGCACGCCCCAAATTTCTAACCTTTTCTTTTTCTCCTCTCAAAACCCTCACTCTTTCGCTTTTTCGCTCTCCCCATGATTTACGTCTGTATGTTTTTATCTGTGTCGCTGTCTTTTCTTATTTCTATTTTCCCCCTTATCTGATTCTATTTGTTTCTGAATTGTTTGTTATATTCGTCAAGCGCATTACCTCTTGTTCTTCTATTGAGATAGGATTATTGAAGGTTCGCCTTTTACAACTGTTTTGCCAAAGTTTTTGTTGAATTTTCGGACTGCGTCACATGGTGTGTGAACGTCCAGACTTTGTCGGATACGTTTTTAGGTGTTGGGAATTGGAAAGGCTTATTGTATCTGAAAGGAATCCCCTTTTACTGTTGGCCTGGTTATAATTTTTGTGGATTGTGTGATTCCGTGATTGATATTTTTTTTTATTAGTGGGTGAAGCTGGGTCCTTTGTGTTCTATTCTTGCACTGATTGTTTTGTTCTTATAAACTCCTTTGGCGTTTGCAGGTGATTACGAAGGAATCATTGCTAGCTGCACAGGTAACATGAGCGTGGTGTGTTTTGTTTGGATCAAATATATTTTTAGGTTTTACTGAGATCACTGTGCACATATTTGTGTAGAGGGAGGATTTGCGCAGAGTGATGGACATGTTATCGGTGAGAGAGCAGCATGCCCGTACGCTGCTTATTTTTCATCGTTGGGATGTGGAGAAGTTGTTTGCAGTGTATGTAGACAAAGGAAAATCATTTCTCTTTGCTGAAGCTGGTGTTAGTGTGGAGGAACATCAGGAGTCTGACTCATCCATTGCTTCTGCAGTAATGTGCTTAATCTGCATGGAGGATGTTCCTAGTAATGAAGTAACGAGAATGGACTGTGGTCATGGCTTTTGCAACTCATGTAAGAAGTTTTGTTGTGTTATTCATGGCCTTTGGTTTTCTAAATTTCAGGTGTTAGGTGGATGACATGGCTTTTAATGTTTGTCATTGGTAATGCGGCTAGTAAGGATCAAATCACAACCTTCATTCATACCCTTATCAGAGATTGATCACTAATTATATTTAATGGTTTAACTTTTTAAGATTTTATGTGAAATCATCAGAAATTATATTTTTTGTTACTTTTTTACAAGGCTTAAATATATTTTTAGTTCTTCAAATTTAGGTTAAATTTTTTTTGGTCCCTTAAATTTAAAATTATTGTTTTTAGTCTTATAATTTTCAAAAATCTTGTTTTAGTTTCTCATGTTACCAATAACATATTTAGAAGTAACATTGTGATAGTTATTGGGTATCAATTGAGTTTAATGTGATTTTTCACTGATAAGAATACTAGTAGATAGATTTTATGCGACAATATTTGACAAATTTCATAATAAAATTTGAATATAAGGACTAAAACAAGATTTTTTGAAATTACATGGACTAAAAATATCAATTTTAAATTTGAGAGGCTAACAATAAATTTACCTCAAATTTAAGGGACTAAAAACATATTAAAACCTTTTTGCTAAAATGGAAATTCATGTAAGCTTCATTTATGAGCTTCTTTCTCAGCATGTCTATTTTTACAGGTTGGATAGAGCATTTTATTGTCAAGATAAATGAGGGTCAAAGTAAACGCATTAGATGCATGGCACACAAGTGCAATTCCATTTGTGATGAAGCTGTCGTAAGAACTCTACTCAGTAGACAGCACCCTGACATGGCTGAGAAATATGAACGCTTTCTGCTTGAATCTTACATTGAAGACAATAAGAGAGTTAAATGGTGTCCCAGCACTCCTCATTGTGGGAATGCAATACGGGTTGAGGAGGATGAATTGTGTGAGGTAGAATGTTCATGTGGTGTACAATTTTGCTTTAGATGCTTGTCAGAAGCACACTCCCCTTGTTCGTGCTTGATGTGGGAGCTTTGGGCTAAGAAGTGCCGAGATGAATCAGAAACTGTTAATTGGATAACAGTTCATACAAAACCATGTCCCAAGTGTCACAAACCTGTGGAGAAGAATGGTGGTTGTAACTTGGTTAGCTGTATCTGTGGGCAAGCATTTTGGTGAGTTTTCTTCCTTCCTGCATCGTATTTTTTCACCCAGTATTTCTCTCATAATTAGCGTATTCTATGTAATAATTTTATCTTGTTGGTTATAAAAATATGGTAATAGGGATCAGAAGTTGAACCTACTTGATTGTTCAAGTTGACATTTACTTATGTTTTGCATAACAATTTCCCTTTTTATGCAGTTGGTTGTGTGGTGGAGCTACTGGTAGAGAGCATACTTGGTCAAGTATAGCTGGTCATAGCTGTGGTCGCTACAAAGAGCAAGAGAAAACAGCTGAACGGGCAAAGAGGGATCTATATCAGTATATGCACTATCATAACCGATATAAAGCTCACACAGACTCTTTTAAGATTGAAAGTAAACTGAAAGAGACTATACAAGGGAAGGTTGCTATTTCAGAAGAAAAAGATTCTACACTCAGAGATTATAGCTGGGTAAATAATGGACTCTCCAGACTATTCAGATCCAGGCGTGTCCTATCATATTCATATGCATTTGCTTTTTATATGTTTGGAGATGAGCTTTTTAAGGATGAAATGACAGAAGCTCAAAGGGAAATAAAACAGAACTTATTTGAGGATCAACAGCAGCAGCTTGAGGCAAATGTTGAAAAGCTCTCTAAAATTTTGGAGGAGCCTTTTGAAACTTTTTCAGATGACAAGGTTATGGAGATAAGGATGCAGATAATCAATCTTTCAACAATTATTGATAAACTTTGTCAAAAAATGTGAGTGCTGCATTAAATAAGGTCCTGATACATCATTTGCTTTTGACATTGATAATTGTTATTTCTGATAATTTCTACAGGTATGAGTGCATCGAGAATGATTTATTGGGTTCTCTTCATCTTGGCATTCATAGTATTGCTCCATATAAGTCAAAGGGCATTGAGAGGGCGTCGGAACTTTCTGTTTGCTGGGGCAACAATGTCAATGATACTGGTAACCTGTTGTGGATTGTTTGAATAAGGTTTAATTACCCTTTTGGCTTCTGTAATTTTATTAATTTTATCTTTTAGTTCCTATAATTATAAATATTTCATTTTAGTCCCTATACATAGAGTTTAAAGTCTCTAAGGTAAAATTTATAAATCTATAGGGGCCAAAAGAATAATTAAACTTTTGAATAATTAACCCCAAAACCTTTTGCTTTAGCATTTCCATTTTGTGATACTTCTTCTTACTATATTAACAGGAAATTTTCAGTGAGCTAATTTTTAACTAATTATCTGTAACTAATTTTAATGGTTTTGATTTGTTGCTGCAATTTTTATTTCTTTTGTTATGCATAAAAACATCGAAGTATTAACTGTATAAATTTGCATATGAACATTACATATAATTATGCTTATGGTAGAACTTGTCTTTTTTGTTATTAATTTGTTGAAGTTTTACCAACGTGGAAATGTGGTGCGAACATGTAAATTTATATTTCTAGCTTTCTTATTGTATCATGTTATGAAAGTTCTTATGTATGTTTTCTTCAGTTTGACTTTGTGGATGCTCATCAGAAATGTTACTGAGTGAAAAGGATTATTGTATATATGCTGCAAGCGTAGGTGTAACTGCAGAATTAGATCGACCTTCTGGATCAGGGAGTTCTGATGACAGTGGATGCTCTTCTAGGAAGCGTGCTAGAAAAGAGGGTCTTGGAGGTGGTTTTTTTGATCTAAACTTGCCAGCAGAGTTTGTAGACAGAAATTGACTTTGAAGGACACCTTATATACTTCGTACAGGCGTACAGGTCTAACATAAATTGCTTTGCTGCCTAAGAAGGAATTGATTTCACACCCCATTTGCTTCTTTTGGGCCATGTCTCTGCCATGCCATCTACCTTTCTGTATATAGATAGCCTTGGGGCATTTATTTCCTACTAGTTTATGTAAATGGCTACCCTTAAAGACAACTTCTAGGATGCTTTTATTATCTTATGGAGTTACAGGTGGAGGTAACTTCACTCATTTTTCTTCCATGATTTCGTTATTTTTCTTGTTTTAAGTTTTACAATTTTCAAATGATATACTACTTTCTTCCATATCTATTGATATTTTAGCTTTTTCTCCCCAAAAAAAAAACTGATGATCTTTCATATCTATCATATCAATACTTTTTCAAGGTATACCGTTTATTTAAAACAGAGTTAATGTTGAATTAACAACACTTGATTTTAACAAGATATGTCTAGTGAGTATTTATAACTATTAAAGGAATGCTTACGTAGCCTACAAAATAAAAATGCACTGCCCCCAAAACTCCATTGCGTATCCAAAGAACCTGGATACATATAATATTCGCGACGTTCCATGGAATGTATGTATGAGAAGAAAAAATGTTATCTTTATTTTTTGTTAAAAAGGATTAGTAAATAGATTAATTTTGTAAAATATTACTTTTGATCTATTTTTTGTTTTTAAGATATACTTACGGTGTACCTTGTTAATTTACTTAAATATAGAAATATATAAGAATTACTTAAATTAGAAATAAATAAAAATGAGTGTAGCTTGGTAATTTACTTAAATTCGAATGAGTGTAAGTTAGTAAATTCCTTGTTCAATGAACGGTTTTGATATAAATATATATCAATTAATTTTTCGTAATCTGTATTACATTAGAAAACTGAAGTTTGATTCTTTAAATATCGAGGTAAAAGATAGTAAATGAACAAAGTTAATAAGTAGTAACGCCATTACTTTTACAGAGGAGGAAATGCCTGTTTTTTAAATATATATATATA